AACTCTACCATGTCAAATAAAATTTTCTGCAATTTTAGTTCTGTCGATAGATCGAGAATTTTTCAAACATTCAACACAAAACATAAAAGCAAAGTAATAGCTTGATCTTATCGATTTTTGCAAGCAAATTGTAGTAGACCTATGACAGTTTTTCTATAAATATTCGTTCGATAATTATGGCTTCTTACCTGTTGAATGTTTTAGTGTGCTTTTAATATTGACGTTGTTTACAAAGTCTTCAAAGAACTATTTTTCATCGATTACTATTATGGCTATAACTTTGATGTACTTTTATTATAGCCATCAAAATTCTTTGCAGTTTATCAAGAAGTAAAAAAGCATAAAGAAATTTTATTGTACAATGAAGTTACATAAGTGCATAGAAGTTCAAAGTCTAATCGAATAGGATACGGACTTGAAGATGAATGAACGAATAAAGAGTCAATAATATGACTGCAAAACATGTGGACAGCACATGCTTGAAAGACTTCAGGATATTCGACCGGAATTTTATCCTTTCAATCTCTTCTGAACTACTATTGTTTACACACACATTATGATATTTTTTTTACATCCCGTGTCTGGCTAACATGATGAATGATGGTAACATTTCAGAATAAATTAAATCTATTATTTGAAAATATTTCAAAAATAATTTAACATTAAATAAATTATTTCCAAGTTGTAAAGTAAAATTTCCTTTTTTTCACAGCCATTAAACTTGAATATTAATATTATTTTAATTAAAAGATTATGTTATGAAAATATTTTTTAATTTTGAGTTAGAAATAAAAAATGTAGTAGAATTATAAAAAAAAATTCTACAACGCTTTGCACGATATCATAATTATCTTGAACGTCATAATTTTAGAAAGCTTTCTCAGAAATTTTTTTTTATTCACTGAATGTTATCTTGCACTTGATATTTACTTAATACAAGCATTCGGTTGAATGAATAAAGATTCGTTAGAAAAAATACTAGCTATTTAGACAAAAAAGCATTAACTATTAAAATGCAATGCTTTTTGAAAAAAGTAATTAATGTCATGACTATGAGCATGATTACTTAAATAATGTTTTCTAGTGTAATGAATTTTCTTTTTGAATATGAAACTCACTCAATTTTATTGATCAATAACATAATAATTATTTTTCAGTTATTAAAAAATTAAATTTTATAAAGTCTCTAGTGTAAAATGATTGTATTAATGACTCAGAATCGATGCTTTTTGAATTTTGTTTTCATTTATATAATCGCTTCATATTCATTATTCACAACATTGTAACTTTTTACCTAAAAATGGATGGTTAATTGTTATTTCTATTAAATATTTAATTGAATTGAACTTATTTTTTTCAGCTCATCTTATTCGAGAACATCATTGGTATTGTTTTATAATTTTTAATTATCAAAGTAAAAAGCGCTAGCTTATCAGTCATTCTAAACAGACATTAAAAAAAATTCATAGACACAGGAGCAATACAGTGCTCCTAAGATTAATTATCTAACCTTTGACATCCATAATATTGCTACTATATGATTAAAATAGTTGTAGCACCTATCGAGATGGTTATAAAGCTATTCAAATAATTGGAGTAGACATAAAGATTGGTACGACAGCAATCTACTCCAAACTGTACTTTGGATTTTTCTTATATACTTTCAATGCATAGATTACAAAGAAATTTGATAAGCAAAAATAATATTGTCTTTCGAAATAAATATGACAAATGTTTGAGTTACATATTTTATAAATATGATTACAAGTCATTATAAAATTATGTTTTCATTCTGTTGTTTTCTTCATGTAACCGTAAGAGAAACGTATGTTAAAAATTGATAAGTTTTCCAATTAAACATGCTTGCGTATATTTATTTTAATACATAAGCCATTTGTAAGAAAGATTTAAGAAAAAAAATCATTTTTTTTCAAAGTCTTAAACGAATTGATAGAAAATAATACGATCAATTACGTAAATTCGATATCAATAATCCATAGTTGAAAATTCAAAGCCAATAATAAACTCTGATTTTCCAACATGTTTAAAAAGATTACAGTTCTAATGATGACATAAGGACCATGATTAAACCACAAAGGGATAAACATGAAGAGGGTGTTGGGGATTTATCAAAAGCATTACGAATTAAAGGGGTACGGAGAGGGAAGTGGCCACGCCTTCCCTTCGCTTTCAACTCAACAGTTCTCGCATTCATCGATAGCAGTGATCAGCACAGAAAGTTAATTAGTCTACAATCGTGACCAGAGTCAAAGGGTTCTTTAAGATAATCGTGGATTCTCCAGGTTGGAGAAGTTAGAAAGCTTTTTGTATCAACTAATCTCTTCAAGACCTTCTTTTTCAATTCTTCTTTCAATCCTTTTTTACTTCTCCGCGTTATTAATTGGCCACGGCGTCGTGGTCACTCTCTTAGCGATAATGGCTCACGGATAACACCGACGAGTTATGCTAATAAGCTTCTCTTTAGGACGCATGCGCACATGCCATGAATATTCAAAGTTTTATCTGATTACGTCATCGATCGTCGTGGGTTATTGAGCATATAAGTGTGTATTTAAAACACTCCGAAACTCTACAGTATATATACTTAATAAAATCAACCAAAAAGAAATGTTAATCCTGACCTCTACACTCAATACTCACAGTACAAATAAATGATCTTGCAGTCATGAACGTTGATACGAAAATAGCTTGTGCCAATTCAATGCAATCGTGTGATATATCCAATAAACTAAATACTTTATGTGCAAAATCTAGACTGTGTTTTTATCCAGACGTTTTTTAACCTCATGCATTAGAGATATATTTTGATTCTCATTGATTATTTCACAATATCCAGTATAATTTATCTTCCTATGCTGTTTTTTTATTTAAACAAAATTTCCTTACTTTAAATCTAATTCTTTTTCAACTTTATCATACATAAGATCATTCTATTGAATTAATGATCACATTTAATTGAAAATTGTTATATAATTATCTAGTCATTTGGATGATATTGAATGCTTTTGACACTTCAGACTTGGTAATTTAAACTTAAAATTGAACTTGAAAAATTTTTTGTTGGATTTTTTTCAAATTAAATGAGTTATAAATTGATGTTTTCAAACAAATGCTACATCCGGTATACATATTTAAACGGCGATAATGATAAATTTCAACCCCAAGTCGACAAATTGAATCTATTTTTAATCTTGGAGAAAGTTTGTTTTCAGTCTGAAACGTATTTGTTTTTCATTTTTTTGTTTTAATGAAAATTTTCATCGTTATTCATCTGAAGGTCTCTAACGAATAAAACAAACTATTTTCCAGTCTATTTTTGTAAAAGTGTATGTATCTGTCAAAAAGTTGAAAACGAGGTCACATTTTTTCACTGTATGAGTATACTGATATCAAATTCTACAACTGGACATTTCATTATTTTATCGAAATGGAAAAGGCTATTATTTAATAGAGAAATCGTAGTTGATTTAATTTTTATTTACATTAATAGATAAATTTTCCTGTCATAATTAATTAAATTATTTAAACAAGTAGTAAATTGATTTTTTAAATAATTACTCTAATATTTGAAGAAACTGTTTGAAAATATATTTAAACTCTACATGGGACTTATCCTTCGATAGCCAGAAATCATTTCATCATCAATTTGAGCTTCATATGATAATAATTTTGAGCTATGCATTGACAATCGTCATTCAAGTATTGTTTTTTGGAGCAAACAAAAGCTAACTGAAGCAGAAGGAAGAAATTTAGTCTATTTAGTCTGCATAACATTGATCTGCAATCAGATTAATACGATCGATATGAGAACATTCTTTAAACTAATTTTATCCTTCCAAAATGCTAAAAAAAGGAGTAAAAGATTATTTTGTTATTTCATTTGGTCAAATTTACGACTAATAACTTTCATCAATAATGGATCATCAAGTGATGTTATCAGGATACAGATTTTGACAAATCTACTCCTCTTCTTTTCACTCTCTTCCAAATATCAGTTTATACTCTGTTTTTACAGTTGATTTAACAAACGTACAGTTCTCATCGATTTTCTCATCATTATTCCATTTTCGTTACACATGAAGCGTCAATTATTAAATTAAATTCAATGAGCGTATTTGATTCATATGTTGAGTTTGAACAGAATTTAATAATTCTGGATAATTCACAGGATTATCATTGGATTCATTAGAATAAAAAATAAAAATTTATGAAAGCAATGATGCTTTTAATAAAATTATTAGCTCATATTTTTCATTTAAAACAAGCTATAATTTTAATAAAAAGTTACTCCAAAAATGGAATTCATTTAAAAAGTTAACCTTTCATCATATGCATGAATGATTTTTGATGCATTGAAGTTTTATCAATCATTCAATGCAACAAGTGATTGAAACTTGGTCAAGGAATAATCAACGTCACTGCATAAACAATTCTGTATGATTATTAGAATAAATGATGTATTTTTAAATTTATAAATAATGATCTTTTAATATTACCATCAGTCTTCTATATTATTAAAGCGAATTTTATATATATCTAATAATCAATTCTTGCGAATAATAAAAAGCTTCAGGTTTGTTACAAAAGTTGTACTGAATAACATTATACCGGCTATAAAAATAAATTTTAAAGCTGCAGTCAAATAAGTTAAATGAAATAATAATAAAATAAATCTCCACCAAATTTCCACGCCATTTTGACGCTAAAGAATGTTCGTTCATGAGGTGGAAGATGTTAGATTAAAGACCGACATTAAATTTCGAACGAGAATATCTTTATTATTCCTGGAGACGCCGCGAACTGTGTCCAAAATTAGAGGCTTAGTATTTTCCCCTTGCCCGCGACTTCCCGGAAGACGAATGGAATCACCTGGAGACGTTCCAAGAGTCATAGACCCAATAAAGCGACCGCGAAAAATAATTTACCAGTCTCAATCATCAATATAGACATATATAATTGTTAGCTAGCTGTTCACTCACCGATAGAAAGAAATAAACGGGTTCTCTGGAGCTGAGAGACAGAAGTCAGTCACGAGAACGGAAGTCATAAGCGTAGGGTAGTGATGGGTCGCTTCCGGTGGTCCCTCAGCCATCATATTTACTATGGACAATTCGTCTAAAGAGACTCTCTCCGTTCATTGTGTCTTTTGGTGCGTCAACTAGACCGCCTGCTGTCACTGTTAAAAAAAATTGTACAATTAATTGTAGTTCATACACTCGTTTGACTTCTTGTAAACTTGTTTTGATCAACTGAAATTTGACGATTAAAAAATCTTTTATAAATTCATCATTTATAATAATAGAGTAGTAATACAACAAAAGCTCAAAAATAATTAGCAAAAGATAAAAAATACTAGACAATTTATTAAGTAACTAAATTGTTAAAGATCTTATTTTTTATATCTAAAAGATAAATAGAAGTATTTTAAATTGTATATGTAAACTTTGATACGCTGCCCTTTATAGATTTTATCAAAAATTAATGATAAAAATAAAAAGTATAAAGTAAATTAATTTGTCAATAAATTCTGTTCATGGCTATAGTAGATAAAATTATTCAAACAAATTGCAGCGATAAAACGGAGGAAAAATAAAGCTGGAAAGTATTTCCAACATGAAATGCTGTAAGTTAATTCTAGAATTTTTTTAATAGAATTTCAAACGTTGTAGAACGTTGGGCAGTTGATAACTGAAACTGTATTGTTTGTTTATGGCATTCAATATTAAAATTATTTCATTTTTTACAAATAAATCACAATTATTTAAATTATGGATTGATAAATGAAACAAAAATATTCCAATTACATTACACATGTATAATTATGTTCATATATCGTTGGAGAAATAACATGTTCAGCTTCTACGTTGATATCAATCACACCAATTATTTTCTATCAATTCAATTTTTTCACGTTATATCAGAGGTAAAGAAACAGTATACTAACAAATTATAATAATTTTTGCACATTATTGTTATATTTTCCCTGCTAGATAATAGAATAATCGTTTATATTATAATACTATAAAAGTTTATGAATTTAGATGTGCATGGAATGTCAACCTGAACAAATCGAATAACGAATTGATGAGAAAAATGTCTAAATATTATTATGAGCTGTTGTTCTTTTGTATTTTAAGTGATCAATTATTATTGAGTGACAATTCGGCCATCAAAGTTGGTAGAACATTAAAGGGAATTGATATGTTAAACAATGCATTGGTAAGTCTTTCAAGTGAATCATGATTATTTTATTTTAGACAAAGAGAAAGAGATTTGCAAATGTTCAACTGATACCAACTTCAGATCTGAAAATTGTAAGAGATATTTTTAATTATTTATCAACGTAAATCGTTTAGCTTACAATAATCGGCTAACACATGATAAATTTTATTGTTTGACAAGCTTTGATTCTCAATCTATGACATTCCAATAATCCTTAGATTTTGATAAGCGCTGAAATGTCCATATGGGCAAAAGTTTGAGTACTAAACTTGTGTATAGAGCTTGTGGTTGATAGAATGAAGAATGAATATAATAATTCTCTTTTAGAGTAAACTTTTCTTTATCTATTTCACAAATTTCTTTCTCCCTGTGTGCTCAAAAAATTTTCCATAGTCTGTATATGGAAACTAATTTTAGGCTAATATACTCCAAAAATGCGACCTAGGACTTAAAAGTACTGTTATTGAAGACAACAGTGAAACTTTGTCTACTGCGATTGCCTCGTTAGCGGCCGAGCTTCCAATTACATTTTATTCACTAAAAACACAACCGTTTGATAATAAATATCATATAAAAAATCCCATTAGTATTGATGGATTTATTGTAGTATTAAGTACTGTCGGTGATATAAAAAGGAATTTAGTAATCAGTCTCCATAAGGTACTGAGTGAACGAAGCTTTTGTATTAAAAATTGCACCGCAATTATTCTACCTAATCCTCAAGTTGAATGTTTCGACATTAATGACATTTTTGACATAATGAATTCGATATTTATTCTTAAAACATACTTTCTCTGTGTGGCACATAAAATGCCATTTATTTTTACTGCTGATAATTATGGAGATAATAAGCCATCTCGTTGGCGATTGACTCAACAAATGGTCTCACCGACAAATGAAATTATTGGAGCCGTTTATTATCGTCAATTCAGAGAAGGTATTCACTTAAATTAATATCTTTCGATCAGAATTAATTTTACTTTTTTTTATTCAGATAAAATTTGCAGAGGATTTGATTTTGAACGAACAAATCCAAGGAAATATAATCAATTTTCATTTGGATTGATCGAATATTTGACTAAAAATGAACTAATCAAACAAAAGAGGGTTTATTACAAAGGAAGATTCGAAGACATGCCACCAAAATACATTTCAGACAAAGTACAAAATTTACAAAAGTTACTCAACATAAAATATGATTATTTTGTAGTACCCGTTCCACCGACTTTCGATCCATACCGCTTTGTCAGTGAAATGATAATGGCGAATGTTGATATATATTTAACCGAAATGGTACTGTATGAAAATTCGAAAATAATGGAAATTTCTTATCCACTATCGCATGATTCATGTTCAATATTATCCCAAGATAAAGGACTTAGTTCTCCTCTAGAAAAAATTGCTTCTTTCTATGGATTATGGACTTTGATATCATTGTTCATAATTATGATAGTAACGTTTATTGTGATATGGATGAAAACTAAAAAGATATCAGCAGCGGCTTTTGACATTTTACGACTTCTAACAAACACGGAAATTTTAGTTCCTATTAATACATTAGCATTAAAGATTTTTTTTATGATGATATTAATGTACTTCTTGATAATTCATACAACCTTCAGTGGAAATTTAGCTAAATTTTTGACAGTTCCTGTTTCATTAGATAACATTGATACACTTGAAGATTTAAGAAGTTCAAAAGTCAATAAGATTTATGTGTTACAATGTAATATACCAGAATTAATGCATGATGATCAATTAGCTAGAAAAACTATTTCAATGGATCATAGTGAAAAATGTATAAAGAAGGTTGAAGATGATCCTAATTCAGTCTGTGTGGCCAGTAAAATATCTTTCATGTGGAAAATCATCCGCAATGACTCTTCGACTAAATTCTACATAAGCAAACATACCTATCCAGGCATGACAAATGTTATAGGCTACCGTAAGCGTTTCATACTTGATGATTTGTTCAATTGGGGTATTATAGTTTTAAGTGAAACAAATACATTGAACTATTTAAGAGAGCGAGCTCATAGAAATACTACACGAAATTTTCTAAAATATAAAAAATCTTTAGAAATTGATTTTCGCCCCATTTCCTTAGAAGATTTGACATTTGCTTTCATTTTTTTGAGTATTGGAATTACTTTATCGATTTTTTGTTTTTTAATTGAAGTATGTGTTCATTAGAAGCATAATATTGAACGAAAAATTACAAATGTGAGAACTTTTGACAAGCGGAAGAAAAATCCTGAACTGAAAATCACGAGGATATATGTTCAGTCTAAGTGTTAAGGAAATTCATCAGCGAACAAATACATTTTTCGGCATTGAAAATTTTTTCCAGGATTGTTTACTTAATACATTTTTTTCGTTGAATAATACAATAATAGACCCAGATAGAAAATATCCGATAATTTGACAATAAGTCATAATATTTTAGAATTACATTATGGTCAATATATTTGAGTGTTCGGTGCAAAATTGTTAGATACTTTCTATCTGAATATTTTTTTAACTTCAATCTTACATATATAAGATATCAGTATACAGTTATCCATTTTTACACATTGTGACAATTATAATTTTTTATTTGGGAATGGAGCCAATTTACTGCTATCAATTCGGAAAAGAGTCAATTTTTTTGTTGAATAAAAAATTAACACAGAATTATAAATCTAACTATTTTTGGATTGGGGACGAAACAATTAATTTTTTAGTGTAGTAGATTACTCAATTTAAAGATTACAGTTACACGTGTGAAATCGACATAAAGAACTCAATAATACACTTGAATTCGTAATTTAAAATATGTTAAGTAACGTTTGTTATTTATATTATATGAATACTTTATATTGATTAATAAATTATCACTAATTGTTTGATCAATTAAAATAAATTTCAAATGCAATGAGATATATATGAAAACTATTTAAATCTGTGCATTGAATGTTAATCAACAAACTTATTTGTATTTTTATCTGTGATTATTCATTCTGTAAAATATGTACTAATAAAATCATTTTTTTTTCAATAAACTAATGATTTTGTTAAATGCAATGAAAGACTAAATACATTAAGAAAAATTTTCCACTTGACCCAGGGAAGAAAAGTGACAAATCTTCAGCTGGATACACCCAAATAAATTTTTACTATCCACATTATGAATGTTTTCATGAGTCATTGTACTCATAGCAGGTACAATTTTAACTTACTAATAGAAATAAAAATATTTCCTACTTGTTAAATTATTACCTAATAAAGTAATGACAAACAAAATTATTACGTGCCATAAATAAAAATTACCTTCTAGAAATAATATAATAGTAAGTTCAATATTGTTATCTGATTTAGTAGGAAATTTCTCTGAATGTAAAATATCTAACAAAACTTTATATTCAATTTCCTCATGAACTATTCTAATAAATAATTGATTAAATATCAATTAATGTACTGCCTAATTAATAAACTTATTTCTTAAAAACAATTTCTCTTATCAATGTATTTCTGAAATAAAACTCAATTATTGCTTTTAATAAAAACCCACTGATAATTTCATGTTCAAAATGACTGCATCTTCACTGAAAGAATTAAGACAATTACAAAATCATAGATGATTAATCTTTATTAGACTATATCGGCTGGCTTTGTGAGAAAAACGAACGATGTAGAAATAAGGTATATATTTAATATATGAGTAATTTATAGTCCACGAGAATGAATGAACAAGCAACTTTGTGTTTTATTTGATCATTATATTTATTATTTATAATTTATCTGAAGAGTAGGATAAAAATGATGAGAAAAAAAGTGAGATGCACACAGAAATGTACAGAAGGTAACGAACTAAGCTTATATGTATGCTCTTTCAGGTCGGGGAAAAATAATTGGTAATAAACGCGAGCCAGCTGTGAACACGGAATGCACTGTAGACAGAGAAAACATTCCATTTGCAGAGCATTGGATACATATAACCTGTGGGAGAGATACGATACAGTTGTAGGGAATAACGGTATCAAAATGGTCGAGAAGAAAAGGCGAGAAAGAGTATCTATTCTCTTTTATAGCTAGAGGTACATATTCACAAAAGTACGTTGGTATAAGGAGCGATTTATGTAGGAAGAGAACGTAAATGAGAACAAGCTCTATTTCCCTTTATACGTTGTTCGTTTCGTGAGAAATATTACAAACTGGATGATGATACATTTTTTAAAGCCATTCTACATTTATAATCTTCTGGACTGTTCGTGCTAAATGGTTTATCATATTATGTCAGACTTTAAAGGAAAAAAATCATGACATTTTTCTAGCTGTGCTTCTATTTTATATATATATATAGATATCAAAGATTATCATCATTACTGACAGTTAATTTAATTTTTATAATGGAGTCAGGTCATATGTTGATATTGATTTATTTTTAAATTGTTCATACAGCTCGATTAGTTATGATTTGCAATAAGATAGCAGCTGGTCGATGGCAAAAATGATGTTTGAACGTTTATCTAATCAGAATTTAGTATTTTAATCATGGAAGAAATGGTAAGAATTATCAATCAATTCATATTTTTTTGTTATTTCAACTTTTATCATTTTTACATCCATGTTATTTACATAGAAAAAATTCAGACATAATATATTGAAATATGATAAACTTCAAGCTGATTGATAAAAATCAATTTCATATTTTTGATAAGCAGACAAATAAATTCTCGAACAATATTTTAACTCGAGGCATCAAAAAAAATTTTCAATTTGTAGACGTGTGTAATTGATACATCAAAGCAGAAGTGTTCTTTTATTTTCAATTTTTATCGACAGAAGTCAAATTTTTATTGTAAATATTTTCTGATGGTAAAATAATTCTTTGTTTAACTGAGATTAATTGGAAAAATTTTTTATACGTAACTATTAATGAAGAAAAATCTGATTATTTCAATGATTAAAGTGATCATTTGAAGATCAAAATCCATAAACTCTGTTAAATGTTTGGAAAGCTGAACTGAGTCAAATCTGGTTATATCATAAACCACCTAGAAATGTGTGTGATCAGTGTTAGCGCGAAGACAAATAGGAACATGCTATATATGTGGTATCGATTGGATCTACAGACCCACAGGATCCAGATTTACATGTGAACCCTGAAGAAGCATAAGGATGTTTTATTGGAATTACACACCTGGTTGTTGTAACAGGTTTGTCTACAAGTGTTTCTACTGGATAACGTGATGAATTCATCATTTGATAGATAACACAATATTGATATACATGAACCAAGGATTATAATTCAATAAAAGAGATAATTGTTGGATGATGAAAGCAATTCGACTTCATTAGTTCAAAACTAAATAGCATTTGTGCCTAAATTACAATAAGTGGGAATGAATTCGAATGTATTTCATAATGTGATTTTAAAGAAAAGATTTTTATAGATAAAAGCAAAACTGGGTGATCTTTGGCATAAAATAATACAGCTGTGATCAAGAAGCTAGACAAAAGAAACTTTTGTGAGCCAGTATGAGCCACTGTTGGTTGATAAAAAAATAAAAGTATTCTATAACAAATGATGTCAAATAATAACTTAAAAGATAATTGGGCTTTAAAATAATATTTCATGCAGCAACTTGTAAAATTCAAAAATTTATTATCCTAGATGATTGTCAGAAGTTTTTAGTGATTTAATAAAAATGTCTCCTTAAAATTTTCCATGTTTAAATATTATGTTACTCATAAACGATAAGATATGATTTTCATAAAAGATGATAAAAAAAATTAGGCCATAAAATTATAGAAAATAGTAGCATGGAATGGTATTATTCCATTGTTATCAACGATACGTAGCAATATATCATTACATTATTCCCAAAATTATGTTAAAAAAATAAATATTAATACTCTAGCATATGCTGATGAAATTACAAATAAGTTCTGACAAAAAATAGTGATGTAAAAACATTGATTTATCTAATTTTCAGAAAAAAAAATCCATAACCACAAAAACACAATCAACTCTTTTCACTACGAGCTTCATTACTCTGCAACCCTTCAAAATTATTTTTGCAGGTAAAAAACCTTCATTTACATAAAAAAATCTGGACTGAACGGGTTTAGTGGAGATGTGAGTGGTTTTAGAGGCTCATATTAAATAAAAGAGAGACTCTATATTGAAGTATGCGTTTCTTGGCATATCTGCGAGTGTTCTTAGCTTACGTAACGCCTCACGTAACCAGTGATTGGCACGCTCTGTTCGCCCGACGTCTCAACGTGCCCCAGGGACTGAAAGACATCCTATAATCATAAGACATCACAATGAAATTTATAATTTAGATTAATTAGCCATTTCATAGTAAATAATTTCAACAAAAATCCTTGATGTTTGTTTTCATTTTCTCTAACAATTATTTCACATCTCTACCAAAGCAACAGTTAATTTAAATGATTCATTTATTAATTTAAAAAAATCAGTACTATTTAATTATAATTTAATTAATTCTCACTTCTAAAAATATTTAAAAGTTCTAAAAATATCTTTAAGAAGCAGTTGTAAAGAGTTGAATCACAGAGGAATAATAATTTGGCATAAAGAAAATTTTTAGAAGGCGGCTCTAGGCGATGGTAGTTTTTACTAGTGAATATATTGATTTTTACAGAGTAATGAAGGAGAGTACAGTCGCCAGGAAAATCGCAGCGGGATGTCGGGAGTCTGGTAGCACTCGCGGGGCTCATCGTGCGGTGAAAGCGAGTGAGAAAGCTGCTGTTAAAATGAGAGAGCACTAGAAAACGAGAGATAGGACGTGACGCGTCGCTGGAGACCCGAAGGCCTTTACTTCTCCCACTATATTGCGAATATATACGACGCTTTCTGTAGCCGAGGGAATACCTTGCAGGTATTTAACCGACAGGTACGTGTCTCCTGACCAAGCACATTCACACACGCGCTGTCACGTGCTTTTAAATAACATGTAAACTGCTGAATACTATTGAATATCAAAAAAATGTATTCTTTTCATTCGATACTCTGCATTTATTATGCAAGCAAAAAATTATTATTTATAAAATATTAAAAATGATTTATTAAATCTGAAAAAAAAAAATAAAAAAATGTTTTAACAGAAAAAAATTCAATGGAGAAATTTTTTTTTTTTGTTAAAAAAATGAATAGAAGAATTATAAAGATGTATGTTGCGTAGTTGTATTTCTCGAAGAAAGCTGTAGGGTCAGAGTGTGAGTCTTGACGAGTGACAAAAAGACGCGGTGGAATATGAAAATGATGAGAAGAAAAAAGAAAACGAGCTGAGATTTCGTATAACGGGAGAAAGAAACACAAGGTAGGGTGTTGTTAGGGAAAATGAGGGGATAAGGAAAATGCGAAAAATGAGAAAAAGGAGAAGAATAAAGAGAGAAAGAGTGATGCCGTTGTCAGTAGCACTCGGCGTATTCTAGAGTACGTCGAGCGTCGTCGGATCGATACCGTCCGCGGTTGGACTTGGGGTGGACGCGGCGCGGGGGTGGCACGCGCAAGGGGCGCCTCGGGGGTGTTACCATGACAACAGGGAATTACGTCGAGGGGGGTGGATAGTAGTGTTCTTCGTCTCACTTTGTCTTTCCTTTCGTTCAACTTGTCTTCACGTCTCTCTTTCTACATATCTTCCTTTAGAAGCTTAGGCTCACGTACACCAATTTGAATTTTGTAACTCTCTGATGCTCTTCAACTCTCTCACAGCCTTTCCCTCGTGAGGCACAGGCGAACGAACTCAACTCAATCGACCGATGGAGAACGTCAGCAGTCTCCAGAGACACGCCTGATAACTCACAATCACTCAGTGATCATCAAGCAAGGGTTACAAACATCTTTGCCGTACAATTCTCATGATAAATTCCAACAAAAAGCTGACACTTTCTTCTGCTTTTCATGTAAAGTGTATTAGGCTTGCAGAAGAGACCTCAGGCAGCACTGAAACATTCACACTTAACTACATACCTCGAGGCAACTGTTGAACTAGATATCTTTTGTTGAAAATACTACAATATAATCATCTAAAGATATTTCTTTAAAATCTGTCTTACATTTTCCTTTGCTGTGATAAAAACTCTTTTTAAAATCAAACTATTTAGTGGGTTCTCTTTTCTGTCATTTTGGAGCAAAAATGTTGATGATGGAGCTGAATAAACCTGAAACTGACAGATATAAATAGAAATTCGAAAACCATTTTGTTCATGACTTTGAAGTTGGTAGATATCTTTATGTGTATGTTTAAAGGTCAATTTATTACAAACTGGTCAAAACCAGCATTGCTTGTTTTTAATCCTTCGAATAACTACTCTGATACATACCAAGACCACAATTATACATCAAAGAACCTTCATTATAATTCATGTACGCTGCATGAGATATGAATCGATTCGTTCAAAGCTCCAAGAATCACATCATCTCTTTTGTTGTGTTAAAAGACTCCAAAACCACAATAAAACTTGACTTTATCATTATTGTTACATATTATATTTTACCTTGGAGAGATAATATTTATAAAAAATATGGTTTATTTTTAACAGCAGAAAAGAAGAAACCAGTTATTGAGATATCTTTGTATTTTGTATTAAAAGTTAAAACACACGAATCTTCCTTGTGTCTAACATGAGAATGTGAAGTCTGTAGGTCTCATTATCAAGTGAACCAAGTCTTTTGTTACCAGTTCACGTTGCCTGGCATAAGACAATTCTACTTACGATAGTGCATTAATTCTATCTCAACTATTTTCAGGAATTTTCCACTTGAAATACAGTAAATATTTCAAGTGGTAAATAAATTAAAAACTATAATTATCTAGAAAAAAATGTGCTGAAGAATTTTCAAAAATTTTCTGAGCAGTTAAGTGTAACCTTGATATGAAAAACGATGTAAAAATAAAAATTCATGCTGTTAGTGAGCAAGTATCGATTCTGAAGCGTCAAGAGAACGGTAGAGCCAGACTTGAGGAGCGGAAAGTTCCACTGGTTAGTGAGAGGCGGCCGAGCTGCGCATTAGAGGTATCTGATTTCGTCCAACTTTGCGCAACTAAAAAACGGTATTTTATATTTTCCATTCTAATCAATCGATTTTCAAAATTCTTTTTGCATATTAATCTAGACCATTTCGCAGTTCTACAGTATTTTTTTCAAACAAATCCGCCCATTAGTTTATGAATTACAAGCGATTCTTTATCACGCCTCGTCAAGATAAAGCGCTAAGAAAAAACCTCTATATTATTTAAACTAATAATGATATAACAAAATGATTATGAAAATCATTGATGACACTCTATAGGCTTATGGAATAACATAATGAACGATCGAAATATTGTTTATTAATCGATTTAATCACTCGGCCATTTTTTACAAGCCACGCCCTGCTTTTTTGATTGCCGGATTGCAAAAATTTAATGAGCACATGAAAATTAGGACTCTCGAGAATATTATAGATGATGTTCTGAAGTGTTATCTCAAAAATTAGTGTCAATTTGGAGTTTTTTTTAGCCTCGCGCGCTCGGAATTTCATGAGAATTTTCAACAAACCCAAGCGATGCGCGACCTAAAAATTCCATTAACTCGTTAATTAAACTTTTTGAAATAAAATAAACATTGAAAGAATAATTCTTAAGGTTTAACAAAATAAATTGAACTATTTTTTGGTCAAAATATTAATTAATTTACCAGATATAGAAGTTTTTTACAGAGCAGATTTCAAGTTAAATAAACATTTCTCCTCTTAAATCGTCGTTATTCAGTCCAAATTTTGAATAATTATTAAAAAAAATATCAAAGGAATAAAGAAGAATACACAGAGAAGAAAATGGCGAGGACAGAAGTTCACGGAAATGTATTTAAAGTCTAAAAAATGAATATTTTTACCGAACGAAATGTGAGAGAAGGTTCGAGGCTTGTATGTAGACTCGGTGGCCTCGTTCAAACATCAGACAAAATGGTAGGACCCACCGGTCGGGTCCGAAAAGGATAAACAAGTCTATTCGAAGCCTGTGGTATGTTGCAGGGTACAGGATCTCTCAAAAGCAACTATCAGACCAGGCCATAAAGCTTTAGATCCTATTCTCGATTCTTAAAACTTGTCGGAACGCGCATCACTCTCAAGTAGGCGGGAACAAGGAAAGAGACCTCATCAAACCGTCCCACGACTATACACAATTGACGCAGAATATAATGCAAACAAGCACTGAAGTATAGACACAAAAAATCAGAGCGTAGGCTTTGTTTAGTTGTTGCTGCTTATTTAGTGTATGAACGACGTAGCGCCATAAGTCGTTTTATGCGCGATAACGCATAGTTGGAGCTTCGATAACAAGAATATACAGCCTTGTTGAGGATATTAACAAACATTATTGTACATATATATAACGGTGCTAAATGCTATATTAGTATTACTAAACCTACAACCTCTGTTACGTGGCATACAATTCGAGCACACATGCCTATAACTATTCAATTGTTCGCTGTATGAATTAATAATTAAATTACCCAAGTTGCTGTATGACTTTCTCTATAGACACTTCATTAATTGTTTAATACATAGGTGGGATTCTATTTTTTATTTTATACTGAATCTTTCAATTCATAATCAACGACGGAAGATTCGTTGATTTACTAATGAATCGATTCATTAAATATTAATAATATTTATTAACAATTATTAAATTATTTATTAGACTCAAATTAGCAATTTGTTAACAATAAACTGATTTTATTTTTCACACTAGAAGACATTAACTTTAGTCAGCTCTTTCTGGTGCCATTTAATAGGTTAATACATGTAATGTGAGACTGAACGATTTATTTTTTTCAGTTCATGAAAATGCTACGAAGATACCAGACATAATGAGTTAAGCTTATTAATCTAGATTAATGCATAGAATGTTAGGTAGTGTTATTCACATCATCGCATCTTCTTGCAAATGGAAACCAGTTCACTATTGGTAAATAACACAATGACGTTATAATAGGTGTAGAAGAAAGGGCAACCCGAAAGCGCTTATTAAATTGTTCGTCGCTAGAATCACTGGTTGTACTGATTACTAACCAAAACAGTAACAGTAAAAATTCTGCACAGTAATCAGTTTAATGATCATGGGAATTATTCATGTTTAGATTCATTTTTATGAAAATAAATTTTTAAATTGAGAAGTTATTATGTAGCACAGTACTGAGTCATGTTTTCTTTTTTCCGGGTAATAAAACTTTGATAAAGTCATGACCTCATGACGATTGTTTTTGAAGACTTACATCAAAAGCTAAGTTGTTACAATCATTTGAATTGTTTAGGAGCATCAAGTGATGTTTGGAGTATTCTATTGGCTCATTAAATGCTCTCTTGGAACCCTTTTAAAAGTCTCTCACGTTTACACGACTTTTTTTTTATCTATATCAATGTTCTGAAGTTCTTTAAAGACTTCTAGTTTATCTTTTTTATTTTTTATTATGACACAATGGAAATATCTAGAATCAAAAATCTACCTTAATAAATTCATCTTTCAGATTAAAAAAAAACTTCGAATTTAATGACGGTAGTGTAATTTATAGTATCTTTAAGAAAAAGTACATTTTAATTATAAATTCGTTAAATCGCCCAGCTGAATAATTATTGTGAAAGTGTATAAAAAAGTTGAAAACCCACAAATATCACTAGAAACTAATCTAAGTGTGTTGAATAAAACCATTTAAATATGCATGATAGATCAAGAAGAAAGCATGCAGGCGTATATAATAATTATTTGAACAGATTTTTATGTCTTTCGGCATTAAATACAAGAACGTGCGATATCTT